AGAGTGATCTTTAACGTGCAAGGCGTGACTCTCCTTACACCGGACCCCCATTTAACGTCCCTTCCGAAGGACAAGAAGGTTAGAGGACAGCGTGAGGGAGTATGAACAAAGGTCTTCTGGAAATAGCTTGTTAAGAGTTTGTTGGTATATTATCTTTAGGTGGATTTATAAACACCAATTGTATAACCCCCGTCCTGCGGGTACTTATACAAGTCATGATGTGTACGAATAGTAACAAGGTTACCGCGAGCGGTATATAAACAACGGGTGAGCCAGTTGTTGGCATATATTACACTCAATGCTGAACGTTAAGCAGGGAACAACAAATACCATTTTAAGGACTTTGGTATGTCACGGCCTGGGGCAGAACCCAATGCTTTCCTCGCCTGGGCGAACGCTCAACATTAAAGCCAGAAAGCGAGGTATTTCCACAGGTACTAGCATCCTCTGTCAATACACCTATAATATAATCATATTATAGTGCGTATTGACAGACGAGGCTAGTACCTGTGGTATTGCCAAGCAAGGCGCTAGAAAATAAAGACAGAAGTAAAAAAAATAAAAAAAATAGATATCCCAAATATTGCAATGGGTTCTGCAGATTCATTTTGGTCGCCTTTGTGTCCCCAAGCCGCATGTAACGAGATTAAATTCGTATGATACGTTTAATCACGGAAGTAGATTATATCTAGGTCCGTTGTTTGATAGACTGCTATTTACATAAAACTAGATTTAACTTGAAGCGTGGGCTAAAAGAGACATATCGTTAAAACTATATATCAGTTATTGAATATACGTATTATCTGCATTTGCTACCTCATGTTCATAGTCCGTTAGAAATGTCCAGTTTGTACACTCGATTTGTACGGGAAAGCTCCCTGTTAAAAATAGCGCCGATAACGTCACGTCGCTCCCTGCATATCTTCAACGTGTTCATCCCATTCGTGAAACACAGCTGAGATATGGTGCGGAAAACTTGTATTAGAAATCCTGTATTTTCGTATTTGATGTCAAAGGTAAAATTGAAGTCACAGTTACCTAATTTTATGGTGCAACCACTGCCTTCGATGCTATATCTATGTATTAAGTAAAGTTGCTAAGAATTCATGAAACAGCAGCCGAGATATTCTCCTTAAACGGTAAGTATAACACTTGTGGTCGAGGTCGAATCACTCAATGTCAAATCAAGGTCACAATGATCACGACCTCATTTAAGAATGCCCATTATGCCACACGCATCACATTCCTGATGTAAGATCAGCTCCCACACTCCCAAAGTAACTTTCATTTAATAATTTAATAATTGAGTTTTCCTCCCTACTTTTTCATGTGAATGTCCCGCCAAGCTAAATAAATTGCTAAGAGTCTCAAAATTATTTAGACCTCCCCAAAATTATTTAGACCTCCCCAAACTTGCCAACTCTTTTGGAAACGGACTATAGTTAAAATTACCCGATGACCTTGACATTAAACGAGGACGGCCGGTCTAGAGAGATCCCGAAAGTTGACCCAGACGTCATTGCATGTTTACATCAACAACGACTAGACGTGGAAAAATACCTTTTAGAGGTTAAGGAACTGATTTTCAGCAAGAGACGTGAAACCGGGCCACAAAGGTGAGACTTTACGTAACGGTAAAATGCATTGATTGATATGAAGTCTCAAACTTCTGACAAAATGTGATTAAGGAGTCGAAATCCCGCGTTCTATGCTCCGGACTTTATCAGTTTCAGCCCCTATAATTAGGACACGTGCACATGGAAACACATGTTTTTAGCCTTTAGGGACAGGTAGTTCCTTTTCTGGGCGAATCTGGTACAACTTCATGTTACCTGTCGAATCAGGTATAACTTCACGTTACCTGTATTGCATCATTAGCTTACATCCGTGTTATAAGACTTTGATTATGACCTTACACAAAACAGTAATATACGGAGACGTTTAATTTGTTACCTACAGTTTAATTTTTGTCTAAGCTTCAGTACCTTTTCTAATTATAATAATCCGTGAGATAACTTAGGGTTTATTTAGTTCATCTCTGAATTATCCTGCCTTTGTATTATTAGATTGGAAAGTCTCAAGTGTTTGTCATATTTATTTTGTTTATTTCTCACCTCAAATCAGTTCACGATCATTACTTATTAAAGATTATGGAAGATAATAGACACACATGCTTAATTATCAGATATGATATCGAAAGTTACAATATTCTAATTATATTTACTCATTCTGCATGATGAAAAATTATGTTAGTGTATAAATAATACAAACCGTTGGCCATGGACGGTCCATTACAATCTGTGTTACAAGATATGGATATATATAGAAACCTCCCATGCCTGTGTCCATTACCTTTCCTATTCAATTCCTATTAAAAACGACATGCAGTTTAAAAAAAAAAATCAGCAATTAAATAAAAAAAATCAACAATTAAATAGCGTGAGTTTCCTCTGGCCCTGACACCAGACTTAGATATTTTGATAGATAGAAGACCACATGTACAACAGACATCTATCTGTCAGAATGTCTAAGTCTGGTGTCAGGGCAGGGACAGTATATACATCCCTGGTCAGGGCCAGAGAAAGCTTGGGCTAATGTAACACAATAAGTGTATAAGCCAATACAAATTCAATACCTGATTTTTCACTGAACATACCACTAGAGGAAGGATCCAATTCTCCCACACCAAAAATAAAATAACTAGATGATCAAAATTGTTATAGACCGATTTGACAGGTTTTAAACTAAATTTGCCCTTTTTCAGTTTCAGTTAACTCATTCACCCCTGAAATGTCATAATGAGCTATTCCAACCTTTGCATTGGAAGAGTTCAAATGTGTCTTCAGGGGTGAATGAGTTAATTGCATAGATTAAGAGGATTATACAACAAATAGACATATATTTATATAAGGGCTGGAAATAACATAACGGACCTGTATAATAACCAGTTATGCTGTTCAAACAAATATTATACACAGTGATTTTCTTGTATTAACTCATTCAGCCCTACATATCTAAACTGGACTTGCCCAGTCATTGATTTGGTAAGGTTCAAATGTGACTTTAGGGGTGAATGGGTTTTAAGCATCAAAATAAAAAACACTGCTAACAGTTCACGCATTAACAATATCAGCTGTTTACACTGTTTACAACGTCCTGAATATCTGACCACATCAGTTTCTAAAATATTCTCCGTCATGTTGTTCCTTTTTTACACGGCTTAAATATCACTTTAAGCTTCATCTTAAAATTACCCACACTCAGCCCCAGGAGGATAATTGGCCATATTTTTTTTATTGAAAGTATATATATGTGTGAGGTGACGAAAATACCAGGTAAGAGGAAACTCGTTTTAATTTTACTTGCTATATATATTTGAACCTAAATCTATGTGTACCCCTCTGTATGAAAAGTGTGCATGCACTTATTCATATAGGTAAAAGATAACTACATATATATCTTCAGCACTGACTTGATAGATAATTGTTTATCTTTGAGACAAAGAAAAGTTCAATATTTGGGACAGTGTATTTGACATGAGCAATAGGCTAGGACATTTGTTATGGAGGAAGGTATATATATATATGTAAAGGGTTGTGCTGATCTGGAAATTCAAAATGGCTTCCCTGGCCTCTCATTGACAGAGACATTTTTCACATTTTCTCAGAAATGGCCGCACTGACATTGTCGTTATACTTTGTTTAAATGTTCCTTATTAGGTCCCAAACAAAGTGTTCTTAATGTTTTTTTGCTGAACAGAACTCACAGTTGGCTTTCCAAGGGTCTGATTGGCTGTGACAGTTTTGACTTGTACAAGAACTGCTGAAGTGATTAATTGACTTTAAACTTGAAAAAAATATTTCTTATGATCATGAGGTCATCAACAAATGTTCATGCTTTTAGTGCCAATCCTAAATTCATTCCCTTGCCTTTGAATTGCTGAAACATTTTCAACTTGTTAGGAATGGATGTAATCATTGTCTCCAAACTTGGCACAGATATTCCTTATCACGTCTCCAACAAGTGTTGTTACCTTTTGTGCCAGTCTGAAAACTCAAGATAGCATCTGATTGCTATAGGCTGAGATATTTTCGATTTGAGCTCATGTTATAGTGTTATATAAGGCCCCTTGGGCCTCTTGTTTGTCTATAGATATGACTGGGTATGACAAAGAACCTCATTCCCATTGCATGTAAGCTAGCCTTGTTTTCTCCCAAAATGAACTTCAAAATTCCCATCCAGTAGCTTATCATCCCATTATTAGAAAAAAAGTATCTGGTGAAAACAATCCATATTCTCTTTTGACATATTTCAAAATACATAACCAAAAGGACCAGGGTGATGATATTTAGCCTTAGCCTGAGTTTCCTCTGGCCATGACACCAGACTTAAACATTTTGACAGATAGATGTCTGGTGTTACTAGGCCAAGTTTCCTCTGGCCCTGACACCAGACTTAGACATTTTGACAGAAAGATGTCTGGTGTTACTAGGCCGAGTTTCCTCTGGACCTGACACCAGACTTAGACATTTTGACAGATTGATGTCTGGTGTTACTAGGCCGAGTTTCCTCTGGCCCTGACACCAGACTTAGACATTTTGACAGAAAGATGTCTGGTGTTACTAGGTCGAGTTTCCTCTGGCCCTGACACCAGACTTAGACATTTTGACATAGATGTCTGGTGTTAGTAGCCCAAGTTTCTTCTGGCTCTTGCACTAGACTTAGACATTTTGGCAGATAGATGTCTGGTGTTACTAACCCGAGTTTCCTCTGGCCCTGACACCAGACTTAGAAATTTTGACAGATAGATGTCTGGTGTTACTAACCCGAGTTTCCTCTGGCCCTGACACCAGACTTAGACATTTTGACATAGATGTCTGGTGTTAGTAGCCCAAGTTTCTTCTGGCTCTTGCACTAGACTTAGACATTTTGACAGATAGATGTCTGGTGTTACTAACCCGAGTTTCCTCTGGCCCTGACACCAGACTTGGACATTTTGACATAGATGTCTGGTGTTAGTAGACCAAGTTTCCTCTGGCCCTGACACCAGACTTAGTCATTTTGACATAGATGTCTGGTGTTAGTAGCCCGAGTTTCTTCTGGCTCTTGCACTAGACTTAGACATTTTGACAGATAGATGTCTGGTGTGGGACATCTATCTGTCAAAATGTCTAAGTCTGGTGTCATTCAAAGTCTGGTGTCAGGGCCAGATGATAGGCTGATGATATTTGGCAAGTAGCATGCTGGGATAAAGGTATGTTGGCCCGGGATATTCAAGGTCACAGGGGTCAATTGTCTTGAAAATCAATTCAGTAACTTCTTCTCAGTAACAAAAAGACCCAGGGTGATGATATACATTATATATGTAGCCTGACACATGCATGAACGAGGGTTACCTGGTTTGTTCAAATGAATGGCCTTCACCCATGTTCAAGGTCACAGGGGTAAATTTTCTTAAAAAAACCCCACACACCTTTAAACGACTCCTTCTGAATAACCAAAAGGCCCTGGTTATAATATTTGGCCAGTAACATGCTTGGATGAAGCCTACCAATTGCAAGTTTGTTCAAATGAATGAGGTTGACTCATATTCAAGGCATCAAGGGTCAAATATGTTTAAACCTTTAAACAACTTCTTCCTAATAACAAAAATGGCTATAGGGTGGTGACATTTAGCCAGTAGTATGCTGTTGATTAATATTTGAGTTACCGTTGACTTCATAATAATGTTTATTTATGAAGGTGGGCAGGTCGAACACCAAGATTTCCAGGGTTTGATTCTTGGACGAAATGAAAAGGTATTGGATAAGCTGCCCGACGATATGGATTTTCACGGGCTACTCTAGATATCCTACCACATATAGAACTGGGAACACTTCATTCTGGGGCCAACAAGATCTTGATCTAGAGTGATTAACATAAGTTATAAAACATTTTTCATAATTGTTTTTAAATTAAGTTTTATGAATATGAGTGAATTATCAACTAATTTATGCTTCAATGCGTCCAACCATACTGATTTCACGGCAATATCATGATTAATGTGTTATTGGGCTGCCAGTCTTGTTTCGTGATTCTGTGTACAAGTGTACCTGTATTATATATTGAAACCATTCACTGGAAATGAAATATGGTATGGTTGTACAGCTGCACTGAGGTATAGGTGTCGGCAGGTTTTACTTAACAAAGTAAAATTCATCTCTGACTTCTCAATACATATCTAGATGTGGTTGGTTTTCACTTCAGACAACAGAACTTGGTAGTTACGTGTTATCCATGGAGCATAAATAGGTGTAAACAGCAGGTATTACAATGACTTAAAATAGACTATAGAATTCAAATGGAAAATTTAAAGGTACGTTATTTTATTTTTCATGATTTGGGCAGGGTAACTCAATCTTGGTATTTTGCAGAATATGTTCTGCTGGGAAGTGTAAAGAGTATAACAAAATTTTCTAGTGGAAAAAACTTAATGAGTGACATATATCCGTGGTGTTCATTGTCCATCCATCAGACATCTGTCAACTTTTTGCATATTTAAGGACTCCCGTACTACTGTCAAAAACTTAACTTTAAATTAGAAACTGACTATAGCTTTAATAAATCACTTCTGAAAAGAAACCCTTAGTTACCTTAGCTTTCAGAACTTCATACAAATTAGAAACTGACTATAGCTTCAATAAATCACTTCTGAAAAGAAACCCTTAGTTACCTTAATTAGCTTTCAGAACTTCATACAAATTAGAAACTGACTATAGCTTTAATAAATCACTTCTGAAAAGAAACCCTTAGTTACCTTAGCTTTCAGAACTTTATAGAGATGAACTAAAAGAAAAATTAACAACATTGCATTGAAAGTAAAAATTGATCAGGGTGAGACCGGGATTCAAACCCTGAACCTACCATCATATATACCTGATATCTATTGTCACACTAAATGAAAATAACCTACTAACCGCTAGCGTGATGATCAGCAGTAGTTTCCTGACCGAGTCCTACTGCAGTTATCTCCAAAATAACATTAAAGGGAGAATTTTGTATGAAAAACAAACGTAGAATTTCATTGTTTTGCCAGTAGCGGGACAGGAATCCTTAAAAGACGACAACTACTACAATATATGAAGTTGAAATGACTGAATAGATTTAGACAAAAATTGGCACTGGCCAAGAGACTCATCATCACTGTACGTTTCGTTGTATAAACGGAATGTGTGTTACCCTTGAGGTCAAAAAATAAGGCCAAATTAGATGAAAATTGATGAATTTTTAAAGACTACACCCCCAGTAGAGAAATTTTGACTTAATTTTGTACTTATAAGTGAACCTTGGACTGAGGGGACTCGGTGGTATATACATTACCTAAGGGTAAGGCCTCCCTGTGGACTAATCTAGGGGGGCAGTGTCGACCATTTAAGGGTTAATTGAGGTTAATCTATGTGAGACTACATCATGGCAGTGGAACCATCAATAGAACAGAGTTTACAACTGAGGTTCTGTATATGATTAGTGCACATACTAAAAACAATGTATTGACGTCAGTGTTCCCAAATTTATACCTTATTTTTAAAAAGTGGTCTTAAATCCTCGTTTGTGAAATCTGCGATATTTCATGTTTATGATGTCCCAATTTCAACATTTATCGTTGATTCAACATTGTTTTCCTGTTTGCAACAGCTTATTTTTTTCGGCAAGAAGAATTTGAAATGGACCATTTCTCTCCCAGAAGCATGCACCCCCAACCATACAGTCATGCGTCAGCTGTTATTCTCATCCCTCTTAGCATTTTTAAACATTATCAAATAATTTTTAGTCATATTTTATGCTCAAAAAACTAAACCAATCAACAAAAATGAGAAAACATGATTACATCCTTCTTTTACTTCAATTGTGTGCGTGTACCCGCGACTCGACTGCTGCTGTTGGTCGTCGCCATCTTGTTTACATCGGACTGCACATGTCAAATATACAATTTTCATGTACAATTAATAAATACAAAAGAAAACGAGATCAAATGTCGGTTAGTGAATGTTCAATGAGGTTCTGCGTACCCCAGGAGATGGACTCCTAAATGGAACTCACTATTCCGGCCATATAAAGAGTAATTGAAATTCAGGGGTGACCCGACAATATCACACGGGGATCACGGGCAAACTTAAACCAGTTTACGTTATACGTGTTTTGGCCACTAGGTGGACTGTCATCAAACAACGTACAAATTACAAAAGATACCTGAAGTAAGAAAAGTGGTGCCCGGCCTAGCGACAAACAACAAAAAACTGTATATAGTGACGCCAGAACAATAGTGAAATAGAACAATAGTGAAATAGAATGATAGTGAAATAGAACGATAGTGAAATAGAACCATAGTGAAATAGAATGATAGTGAAATAGAACCATAGTGAAATAGAACCATAGTGAAATAGAATGATAGTGAAATAGAACCATAGTGAAATAGAACAATAGTGAAATAGAACGATAGTGAAATAGAACGATAGTGAAATAGAACAATAGTGAAATAGAACGATAGTGAAATAGAACAATAGTGAAATAGAACAATGATATAGCTGTCAATGTATAGTTCCAATGTCTGTGAAAATATCGTAAAACATTTTGCGATATATTCATAATCAATTTAAGAGCATTAAGGGAAAAGTGTTTCTGATACGATGTGACTTGTACAATTTGTACACTAATCATGTGTAATGATACATGTGTATCATTTTATTTGTTGTCCACAGGGAAACTATTACAGGGGACAATAGATATGAATTAACAATCCGTCAGTCAGACATGGTTAGTCACTTTTACCAGGAAATATGTTCTGTATTCTCATTATCGCCAAATTTTTGTTTTTGAGGATAGAGTGGCACATCCTGGATCTCTAGGAAATGTAGTATTTTGTAAACGTAGTTCTGGTCTTATGCCCAACTATATATGTACATATTTTATGGTTGAAGTCGATCGGGGTCCCTGGTTTAACTCAGTCACCCTTGAAGACACAAAGAATATGTGTATTATTTGTGTGGTATATAAAAACCAGAGATTTTGGGGAGTCACATATTTGAGTCGTTACTCAGGCTTTTCCCATGAAACCCATCAATTTGTTGAGGATCCAATATCTCTGACCCATCAAAATATTGAAACAGGTGTCCAGGACTCCAGGAATTCTACAAAAATCACTGATGAATATATAATTAATGGAACTACAAAACGATATCGTAAATTTTTTCATAAAGTTGATAAATTCTTTTGATGAAATAGGGAAATCTTAAAAAACCTTTGGTGAGTTTGACCTAAAACTGATTGATTTGTATAATGGTCTATTTACAGACAACGTACCTGGTACTTACTAGACATACACCATGGAAGTGGATACGAATGAGCAGAAACAACAGTTGCGGTACTGTGACACAACGAAGATTGACGCCCCCCGTACGCTGGAGGACCTGATAAACAAACTACACAAGGTGTTCGAGGATGACGAGGTCAACGTGGAATACGTACAAAAACTGATGACGTCATATGAGAGCAACCGCACTGACTGGAAAAAGTTCGCCAAATTTGACCGTCACAGGTAAGGTTTTACGTAATTGTGTTATTGAGGGGATAAACCTACTGTGTTTTGAAATTTGCAACAGTATATTGTGATTATAATATATCCAAATTGAGTTTTACTGGCGTCGCGATTCTAATTCATTTAAGCCAAAACCACCAAAAGAACAGCAATTTTAGGACTTTTTTTTAGTGTTCAAATTCTAGGTCACTTAAGTATGTACTCTTCTGAGGTTTCAGTCACGTTCAAGTCTCGTTTTGATCTGGTGTAACGGGTTTTTGTAATATTTAACAAATTATGATAGGTATAATAGCAAACACTTATCTGAAAAACATGTAAAAATAAACTAGATGTCTGTTGTGTGTAGAACATTTTTTACAAGAATTTTTAAAAAATGACCTATTTGGCGGCCATTTTGAAAAAGTGTATTTATGTGAATTTCTTGCGCTTCACAAATGTCCAAAATTCACCTTTTTTGACACTAGATTGATCACTTAAATTGTCATTGTGTCACCATTTTTAATTGTAGCAGGTTCAATTTTGCTGTACAACTTTATAATGTTCAATATGATTAAAATAATATGCAAAAAAGTGGAAAGTTATATATTATTGATATTTTTTTTTACATGTTAGGGTTACTGAAGCACTTTTGATTTTTGACCCCGAAAAAGGTGAAAAATATCACAAATAATAATGGGACAAAAAAAGAAGCACACCGACCCCCCATTTTTGTGTCTGTTTTAGAAAGAGAAACACATTTTCTTTTGATTCATTGAATACTAAAAAAAAGTTTATTACAATGTACAGGATTTTTTATATCAAGCGTTTTATCGGCAAAAAATGGTGAAAATGTGCATTTTTTCATTAAAAAATAAGGGGTAGGGGTAACTAAAATCGCATTTCTGAGTAAAATGAATAAGTTTAAGACATTTTACTTCCATGGTTTCAAAGAAAACAATATTTTTATCAATTCTACAAACATTCATACATATCTGATAACACACTTGGAAGAAATTGTATGAATTTGTTCTGCAAATGGTCAAAACCCGAAAATTCACCTAAAATCACATATTGTGTTCAATTGGTACCTTTGACCGATCATAGCACAAAAACGAACACACCGACATATAGTTTTTTTTGCATTTTCTACTATGTCATTATCTCCTTTTTCCAAAAATCAATATAAGAAAAAAAGTTTAATACAGGAATTTTTTGACTTCACAGAGGTGTACATCCTTAAGTGGATTGGTGATGTCAGGAATGTTCAAAATGAGGCAGAATTACATTGACCTTTCAGGGTCACGTTATTGTTCGTGACGTCATGTATAATCAATTTCATGACGTGTCAGGGTCATTCGGGGTCATTGATGTCATTAAAAATTACCATTCGGGCTTCATATACAAATGAGAAATTTGCGGATCGTATATCGAGGTTTTGCTATCGCAAATTATTTTGATTGACCAATCAAATGATGTGTTACATCTCAAATGAATTAGAATATGGCATTTATCCTACATTAAGCCCAGAAAGCCAACACTGTAACACATACTTGCTGAGTACCTTGTAGGGGATTATTGGGCCTACCACAGTACAGCACATCAATTGTCACTGATGATGACAAGTGTTTAGGACCAGTGTGAACTATCCTTACAAACTAAAAGATTATCCACATATTAAAAACATCCATATCTATACATTGTATATGATGGAGACACCAGCTGATATACTTGCTGCCGACCAATTATAATGTTTTATAATTACTTTAGATAAAAAAGAATATATTTAGGATCATAAACAGATGTCGTTAAGTATATATGTGGCATGTTGTCAATGTTATCTGTGGGCTAGTAAAAGTGTTCTCTCTGGGCTGGTAATAGTGTTCTCTCTGGACTGGTAATAGTGTTCTCAATATGAAATTGTACATCGCCAATACATTGACCAAAGGTGATTTGTTCCTATTCATTATAATTAGAAATGGAACCAGAGTACTAGTCAAGTGGTTAGAAACTACACCACATTATGTCCACTGTAGACTTCCTAAAACTATCATTCTATAAATAAATCAGTATATATTGATCATGATGCGTGAACAGATCGCTGTATAATTATGTTACAACGATGAAGTGGCTTGAGCTCCATGTTATTTATAATTGATACATGTATATGTTTTTATTGAAAGCAGATAGAGGTTCCTGTGTAAATTCCACTAGCCCAATATTATTAAACAAAATAAGGAATTTCAAATTTTGACTTGCCAATCAGGCTAGCGGTTTTTAGAACGAACCACTAGTCAAGCTGGAGATTTCACTAGTCTCAGACTATCGGGCTACCCTTATTGTCTGGTCCTGTGACACTAGTCTCAGACTGTCAGGCTACCCTTATTGTCTGGTCCTGTGTCACTAGTCTCAGACTATCGGGCTACCCTTATTGTCTGGTCCTGTGTCACTAGTCTCAGACTATCAGGCTACCCTTATTGTCTGGTCCTGTGTCACTAGTCTCAGACTATCGGGCTACCCTTATTGTCTGGTCCTGTGTCACTAGTCTCAGACTATCAGGCTACCCTTATTGTCTGGTCCTGTGTCACTAGTCTCAGACTATCGGGCTACCCTTATTGTCTGGTCCTGTGTCACTAGTCTCAGACTATCGGGCTACCCTTATTGTCTGGTCCTGTGTCACTAGTCTCAGACTATCGGGCTACCCTTATTGTCTGGTCCTGTGTCACTAGTCTCAGACTATCGGGCTACCCTTATTGTCTGGTCCTGTGTCACTAGTCTCAGACTATCGGGCTACCCTTATTGTCTGGTCCTGTGTCACTAGTCTCAGACTATCGGGCTACCCTTATTGTCTGGTCCTGTGTCACTAGTCTCAGACTATCGGGCTACCCTTATTGTCTGGTCCTGTGTCACTAGTCTCAGACTATCGGGCTACCCTTATTGTCTGGTCCTGTGTCACTAGTCTCAGACTATCGGGCTACCCTTATTGTCTGGTCCTGTGTCACTAGTCTCAGACTATCGGGCTACCCTTATTGTCTGGTCCTGTGTCACTAGTCTCAGACTATCGGGCTACCCTTATTGTCTGGTCCTGTGTCACTAGTCTCAGACTATCGGGCTACCCTTATTGTCTGGTCCTGTGTCACTAGTCTCAGACTATCGGGCTACCCTTATTGTCTGGTCCTGTGTCACTAGTCTCAGACTATCGGGCTACCCTTATTGTCTGGTCCTGTGTCACTAGTCTCAGACTATCGGGCTACCCTTATTGTCTGGTCCTGTGTCACTAGTCTCAGACTATCGGGCTACCCTTATTGTCTGGTCCTGTGTCACTAGTCTCAGACTATCGGGCTACCCTTATTGTCTGGTCCTGTGTCACTAGTCTCAGACTATCGGGCTACCCTTATTGTCTGGTCCTGTGTCACTAGTCTCAGACTATCGGGCTACCCTTATTGTCTGGTCCTGTGTCACTAGTCTCAGACTATCGGGCTACCCTTATTGTCTGGTCCTGTGTCACTAGTCTCAGACTATCGGGCTACCCTTATTGTCTGGTCCTGTGTCACTAGTCTCAGACTATCGGGCTACCCTTATTGTCTGGTCCTGTGTCACTAGTCTCAGACTATCGGGCTACCCTTATTGTCTGGTCCTGTGTCACTAGTCTCAGACTATCGGGCTACCCTTATTGTCTGGTCCTGTGTCACTAGTCTCAGACTATCGGGCTACCCTTATTGTCTGGTCCTGTGTCACTAGTCTCAGACTATCGGGCTACCCTTATTGTCTGGTCCTGTGTCACTAGTCTCAGACTATCGGGCTACCCTTATTGTCTGGTCCTGTGTCACTAGTCTCAGACTATCGGGCTACCCTTATTGTCTGGTCCTGTGTCACTAGTCTCAGACTATCGGGCTACCCTTATTGTCTGGTCCTGTGTCACTAGTCTCAGACTATCGGGCTACCCTTATTGTCTGGTCCTGTGTCACTAGTCTCAGACTATCGGGCTACCCTTATTGTCTGGTCCTGTGTCACTAGTCTCAGACTATCGGGCTACCCTTATTGTCTGGTCCTGTGTCACTAGTCTCAGACTATCGGGCTACCCTTATTGTCTGGTCCTGTGTCACTAGTCTCAGACTATCGGGCTACCCTTATTGTCTGGTCCTGTGTCACTAGTCTCAGACTATCGGGCTACCCTTATTGTCTGGTCCTGTGTCACTAGTCTCAGACTATCGGGCTACCCTTATTGTCTGGTCCTGTGTCACTAGTCTCAGACTATCGGGCTACCCTTATTGTCTGGTCCTGTGTCACTAGTCTCAGACTATCGGGCTACCCTTATTGTCTGGTCCTGTGTCACTAGTCTCAGACTATCGGGCTACCCTTATTGTCTGGTCCTGTGTCACTAGTCTCAGACTATCGGGCTACCCTTATTGTCTGGTCTTGTGTCACTTGTCTCAGACTATCGGGCTAACCTTATTGTCTGGTCCTATGTCACTAGTCTCACACTATCGGGCTACCCTTATTGTCTGGTCCTATGTCACTAGTCTCAGACTATCGGGCTACCCTTATTGTCTAGTCCTGTGTCACTAGTCTCAGACTATCGGGCTACCCTTATTGTCTAGTCCTGTGTCACTAGTCTCAGACTATCGGGCTACCCTTATTGTCTGGTCCTGTGTCACTAGTCTCAGACTATCGGGCTACCCTTATTGTCTGGTCCTGTGTCACTAGTCTCAGACTATCGGGCTACCCTTATTGTCTGGTCCTGTGTCACTAGTCTCAGACTATCGGGCTACCCTTATTGTCTGGTCCTGTGTCACTAGTCTCAGACTATCGGGCTACCCTTATTGTCTGGTCCTTTGTCACTAGTCTCACACTAGTACTATCGGGCTACTCTTATTGTCTAGTCCTGTGTCACTAGTCTCAGACTATCGGGCTACCCTTATTGTCTGGTCCTGTATAGTTCACCATTCACTGACTATATGATTGTGAATTGCTGGGAGGTGAAGATGGGGGATAATAAATGGAATTTTGATGTCCTGCTTTTT